AGTTACTTAATAAATATTGGAGGAAATGTCGCAGGAAAGTTTTTTCTTCTTGTTTCTAATTTGGTAAAGTGATCTACGGGAAGAGTTCCTGTATTATACTTAAACTCTTTAGTTTACAAAAGATATTTTTACTATTTATTATTATAATAATTATGATAATAATTTTTCGATCAAAAAATCTATTATTATACAAAAATAAATGAGATTATATATATATTAGATTTTATTAGGTGATCGACCATCTCAGCATAATGTGTAATTAATAAAAAAATATTTAAATATTTAAATGTTCAAACTTAATAGTGACTACCCACATGTGCTATGTTAGATCACTACTTTTCTAATTCAAAAATCTTTGTATCAACAATAGATACTTATTTTTAATATATTTTTGTAAATCTTCATTGGTATAGAAATGCAATACTAATATTGTAAAGTAAACCACTAGAAAAATATAGATACAAAAGACTTTAAGACTTATAAGAATCATATAAATAGTAAAAACAATTATCTTTAATCATAATATAGATATAAACTTTCCTATTTGTCCTACTTCTTTATTTTGTTATACTACCCAATTAGTTAACAGTTCTAATTTGCTCTTTAGAATCAATAAATAGCTTAGTGAAGGACTTCAATATCTTATTATCAAAGAAGATTATTTGACTTGAACTTAGATTATAAATATAATAAAGAAGAACTCAATAGATTTGTATGTTCCTTTAATCTAGCCCATATAATCAAATGTGTTTTAATTAAAATATTTTTAAAAATCTTGAATCTTTATCTGTTAATAAAATACTTCTTAATAGAAGCTCTTTAAAAAAATTACATCGATTCTGAAGGTAAAAATGGTTTATTAAAACACTTTAATTCATATTAAATCTTATTCATAATATGATTAATTTGGTATTACTATCGAGAAGAGCTATTCTTTATGTGTAACAAGTTTAACTCTAATAGTGAATAAATAAATAATATGTATAAATTAAAATAAGACCATAGAGTTAATGTATAGTTTAAAACATATAAAATATACAATACACACAATTAATAAATAAATATGTAATAAAATATAGTATAATAAATACTGAAATAACTCAAAAGTCTTTATTATAAATGGTTATACTGTCAAATTAATGCATTCTAGTATTCTTTATATATTCTTTATATAAAAACAAATAAACAAACAGTACTCCAGAGCCTTAGTACTAAATTTAGTTTGGAGCAACTTTAATCTTGTCATAAGTAAGGAATACTTATTTATATGATAATATATATTAGATTTTAAAAATTACAGGATGTACTATTTTATGCATATATGGTAATAGACCTTGAAGGACTTTTAATAAAGAAATAATAATTTTGCATAATAAGAGTTTTATTAACAGAATTGTCATCAGGAAATGTACAAATACGAGTCATAAATAAATATTCTTGCAACTTGGTTATTTTAAAAATTCACAGTATAGAGCGATTGACAAATATATTATTTATCTAGAGATTAAATTCTTTGTATCAAATGAGAATTCTGTTACAGCATAAGTTATTAATTTAAAGAATTTACAATAATTCGATCTCAATATATAGCAGTTATATATTATATATAAAGCATATATATTATGTACCCAACTAAGAATATTTTTAAAAAAGTATTATATAGTTCTGATCTAACTAACTAGAACTTTTTTTTTAAAAAAAATTACTATCATCATAATAACTCTGTCCAACTAACTAGAATTTTAAAAAAATCACATTTACTATTGTTACAGCTAATGCTGGAAATGGCTGAAGCTAAAAACTAGAATCTTGATTTAAAAATATAAACTCTACAAAAATCTGCTTATACTCTTTAATTATTAAAACTACCTCAAAACCCTAATCTAACTCTAAAAAAAAAATATTAACAATAGGCTCCAAAATTTTTTAAAAATTTTATATTAAAATAATTAAAATTTCTAGTATTAGCCATTTTCAGATTCAGCCGTAACAGCTATTAAAGTTCTGGCTCAACTAAAATCACCATTATTATAATAATAGATCTAGCTTAACCTAATAGAATTTAAAAAAAAAGTTACTTTATTAAGAGTTCTAACCTAACTAACTAGAGTTTTTAAAAAAAAAAAACTTTTTATTGTTATAGTTTTGGCCGGTCTAACTAACTAGTATTTTAAAAAAAAAAATCTGGCCCAACCTACTAGAATTTTAAAAAAAAATTATTTTCATTAAAAGAGTTCTGACCCAACTGACTAGAATTTTTAAAAAAATTACCATAGTTATAATTTTGGTTTTGGTTCAACCTATTAGAATTTTAAAAAAATTTAAAATTTTTTTTTTAAAAAAAATTACCCTTGCTATAATAATAGTTTTGACCAAACTAACTAGAATTTTAAAAAAAGTTACCTTTATTGTAAAAGTTCTAGCATTTACAACAATAAATTGAATATTAAGGGGTTTTTGTGTAGATCAAATAGAAGCAAAATCTACACTAACGAAACTTGCTAATAGATAATCTGTTGCCTAAAAGAAATAAAGTATGAATATAAAATAAATCTCTACTATATGAAAACCACATGAAAACATAAAAAAGAAAATAAAACAAACTATATCACATAACCATGTGCCTGTTCTGCAACTTTGATATTGCAAAGCAAAGAAAAGAAATCATCATTAGATATTAGATAGATGATGACAGTAAGAAAAATATTATAAATTTTTTTCTAAAGTTGAGTATTTTAAAGTTTTCTGTCTTTAATTTATCTTTAATAGGTGATAAGAAGTTCTTATTACATATAGTTCTTAGAATATAATATTGTATTTGTATGCAATCGATTTGTAATCATTTATTGGAATTATATAAGGATTATCAAAATCATATTTTTTCCTTAAGCTACTAGAGCTATAATTGTTTGCTACTGAAATAGAATTAGAATTTCTCTTTTGTTTCAGTTTAGAGTAACAAGATCACATTTTTTAAAAAATACTATAAGTTAGGGAAGATTATATAAAAAAAATAAATATAAAATAAATTTGATTAAGTTTTTTTTTTATTTTTTTTTAAAAAAAAGATTTGTCGCTATAAGAGTTCTGGCCCTAACTGACTAAAATTTTAAAAAGTTATTCTTACTAAATAGATCTGGCTTAATTTAAAAAAAAAACATATATAAAAAAAAAAATAATACTTTCGCTATAACAAATTTGATCAAACTAACTAGAATTTCAAAAAAATTATCTTCACTTTAACTGTTCTGGCCCAACTAATACAATTCTAAAAAAAAAAGTTACCTTCACTACACAGATAATAGCTTTGTCTCAACTAACTAAATTTTTTAAAAAATCAAAGTTATAACAGATCTAATCCAACTTACTAAAATTTTAAAAAAAGTTAGAATAGCTAATAAAGTAAAAGATCGCATAGCCCAATAAAAAAAAAAATCTATTATAGCTGTGGATCACTGCCTAATAATAATTTTAATATTGGGCAGTCTGATCTTAGTAAAATACTAGATAAAACTATCACTCTTCAAACTCCTATACCAATCTGCATAATACAAGAAAATTTTTAAAAAATAAATAAAGAAGACAATGAATGAGTTACAAAATAATTAAAATTAATGAATCTACTATTTGCAATTTAAGCAGATCATATGACCGGATTAGTCACAATGCTCAGTTCTATTGTTTTATAAATATCTAATAAAAATAATAAATTTGATTTATCTAAATGATAATTATAATAAAATAAGTATCTTAGAAGCAATAGCATATTCGGGATTAGTTAATCCGGCCTCTTCAAATGATCTAAAATTCTTTAATCAAGAATAGAATAGAATAAAATTAATATTTAATAAAGTAATCATTTAAAAAGTTACTTATTATTCCCAATATGAAATATTAAATTGTTTAAATATAAATTTGATTTTTATATTAAGATTATCACAATATCTAAAATTCTTTATAGATAGCAAATAATAATAATAGCAGCAAAAATATAAGCAAAATTGTATAATTAATAAATATATAATTAATAAAAATTAAATGAGTAGGTTGTGCACAAGCCTATCTAAAAAATCTATTAATAAGTGATTACTCTAATCATTAATAATAGAATCTATTCTTCCTTCTTTTTTAATTGGCTTTTTTTTTTGTCTAAAATAACATTCACTATGAAAAATATGATCAATTTGAGCTTTAACAATGTGCTGTTCTTTTTGTAGTTCCTGAATTAGCATATATACACCAATATAAGAATTACCAACTAAGGTTGCTCATTAATTATGCCATCCCTCAACTATATTTTGAGTTTGATAAAAACCTAAATCTAAACAATCATGTACTAACCATAATTCAGAGGGAAAAAGAGATGCAGAACGAATCTCTTGACTATCCTTTATTACTCATCTAAGTTTGCCTAGTATATATGTTTTCTTAAACTATAAAACTAGCTCTTTTGCTTCTTCGAGTATTTGTAGTTTTAATATATTAAATGCATTTGAGATTTCACCAGGAGGTAGGAAGGCTAAAGCAAATAAATATCATACTTTGATACTAAAGATTATATTATTTCCATATTTGCCTATATTGCAAATATATAATAATGAGTTAGATTAGTTTATACATATCAAATATTATTTATATGTATGTATATATGTATGTATATATATATGTAAAATTTTTTAAATTGCACTACGTAGTGTATAACAATTAGATATAATTAGAGATGAAGCTTTATCAATGTTTCTAATTTTGTAAATATTACAAATTTTGTATATATATAATGATAATATATACATATCTAATATACATATACAGGTAAAATATTATAAATTGCTTACTTGCTAATTCACATTTTTGTATCTTTTTCCATCTATTTTGCCCTAGATAGAAAAAACATGCTTTGTTAATAACTTCAGAAAATACATATTGTGTTGTATTTATAGCTGCAATTTCAAAATCTGTAATAATTCTTGGAGAATTAAGATCAATTTCATTTGCATTGGCAAAATCTATTAAGCTCTTAAATAATCAGTTATATTTTTCTTCAGACTTATGCGATATCAATACATATGTGAGAGAGAAAATTCAGAAATTACTTGTAGCACCAATAGGTGCATGGATTGAATATAACTAATGAAAGATCATAGATACTATATTAAATGTTCTATCCATGATCCAAAATAGTGCACGAGATAAGTATCGAATGTTTTTCAATGTAGTAAAAACAAAAATTCAACATTGACCAACTAATTAATCATTAATTAAGAATAAATTACCACTTAAAGTATTTTGAAGAAATTCTAGTACATCAAATTTTGTAATATTTCATAGTTGTAGTGGTAATCCTGCTTGTCTAACATGATGAATTTTTCTATAGCATATATCTATTGAAGAAAGATAAGATTTTATTTTCTCAAATGCATTAATAATATTATTTTGTACTATCTTAGCAGATTTATCTTTTGTTTCTCGAGCTTGATACTTAATTTCTAAAGAAAATTTAGCAACTTTAGCATTATATGCTTCAGGTGCATGGATTTCATAATCAGTAAATTTTTTGAGATAATGTATACCATTATAGTCTTAATATGTTTTTATTGTTGATATTGCATAATAAATTAATTATCAAAGAATAGCTAAGTATTTTGCTTTATTACCTTATATTACTTTATCTTGTATTACTTAATTAAAAATAGTGATTTAACTAAGATGCTGTCATTATGCTAAAGAATAAACATTAAAATTTACACTATTTCGAGTTTAGCATAAGTACTGCAAAGAGAAAATTAATAAATCTTATTAGATAAGATTTGCAGGTTTTTTTTTTTTACAATGTACATGTCTAGTTATAATGTTATGTCCAATATTATAGAAAATATAAATAAGTATATATAGTTGTTTTACAAAGTTTAATATGATTACAAGAAAAAACTCAAATTTATGTTAATTATATATATAAAAGTAACTCTCAATATAAGAAACTTTCGATATAAGAAACTCTTGATATGAGAAAGATTTTATAAGTAAGTCACAATTAAAATTTTATAAAAAAAAAACTTAATATAAAATTTTGGATGAACCCGGTAACTTTTTTATATCAAGAATCAATTTCATTTATTAATATTTTATTGTTGGTTTGTAGATTATTTTTCATATAAGTGATAAATTTTCGGAGACGATTGTACATATTTATTTTTGCATATAATAACACGTACCTGTATATTATTATAAGATCTTGTGTATTATTTTGAGATGCACATGCACAGCAATTCGACTCATTTTGACATATATAGTTACAAGAAGAAGCCTTACTTTTTTTAATGAACTTAGCATGAAAAATTTAATCAAAAATAATATAATACATTTAAGAGAGCGTGTTATTTTAAAACACACATGGCATTGTTATTTTGAGTCAAAAAAACTAATTTCAAAAAATAGGAGTTTCAAAATAACACCCATGTACATTATTATTATATGCAAATATGATATTTATCATTTTAGTGAACAAGTATAAAGTTCAATTCTTAATTAAGATATTTAAAATACTCAAACTAGCAAATACAAGAATATTGACTATTATTATATGTATTTTTATAAGCCATGTTTGTTAGACATTATAAAACCTTTATTTCACAATCTTGATCTAATTACAATCTTAGTATAATTTAATAATACAATAAAATATTAATAATGTATTTAAAATTCTTTTAGCTACAGAAGTTAAGAATTTAAATGACAAATTATCATTGTTGTTATTAAAATAAAAATATATTAGAATCAATAATTTAGACACCTTTGCATATTGTATACCTTCGCTATAATAGTACTGGCCCAACCTAGAATTTTAAAAAATCATCTTTGATATAATAGATCTGGCCCAATCTACTAGATTTTAAAAAAATCACCTTCGATATAATAGATCTGGCCCAACCTACTAGAATTCTTAAAAAGAGATTTTTGCTATTGTAGTTCTGGCCCAACTTATAAGAATTTATAAGAACTTAAAAAAAAAAATTACATATTCTATAATAATTCTGGCCCAACTTACTAGAATTCTTAAAAAAATCATCTTCACTATTATAGTTCTGGCCCGGTTCAACCTATTAGAATTTTTTAAAAAAAGATATTTTCACTATAATAGTTCTAACCCAACCTAATAGAATTCTTAAAAAAATCATCTTCACTATCATAGCTCTGGCCCAACCTACTAAAATTTTTTAAAAAGAAGTTATTTTTATTAAAATAGTTCTAGCTCAACTTATAAGAACTTAAAAAATCATATATGTTATAATAGTTCCGGCCCAACCTAATAGAAATCTTAAAAAGTTACATTTGCTATAATATTTCTAGTCCAACTTATAAGAATTTATAAGAATTCTAAAAATCACATATGCTATAATAGTTCCAGCCCAATCTAATAGAATTCTTAAAAAAATTAGCTTCACTTTTGTGGTTCTGGCCCGGCCCAACCTACTAGAATTTTTTTAAAAAAAGTTACCTTTGATATAATAGTTCTGGCCCAATTTACTAGATTTTAAAAAAATCATATACATTATAATAGTTCTAGCCCAACCTAATAGAATTCTTAAAAAGTTATTTTTGCTACTATAGTTCTGGCCTAACTTATAAAAATTTATAAGAATTTTAAGAAAATCACATATGCTATAATAGTTCCGGCCCAACCTAATAAAATTCTTAAAAAAATTACCTTCATTACTATAGTTTTAGCCTACTAAAATTTAAAAAAAAAGAAGTTATCTTTGTTAAAATAGTTCTGGCCCAACCTACAGATTTTAAAAAAATCACTTTTAATATAATAGATTTGGCCCAACCTACTAGAATTCTTTAAAAGTTATTTTCGCTATTGTAGTTCTGGCCCAACTTATAAGAATTTATAAGAATTTTAAAAAATCACATATGCTATAATAGTCTGGCCTAACCTAATAGAATTCTTAAAAAAATCACCTTCACTATCATAGCTCTGGCCTAGCCCAACTTACTAAAATTTAAAAAAAAGAAGTTACCTTTGTTAAAATAGATTTGGCTCAATTTATAAGAACTTAAAAAAATTACATATATTATAATAGTTCTGGCCCAACTTAATAAAATTCTTAAAAAGTTATCTTCACTATAATATTTTTGGCCCAACTTATAAGAATTTATAAGAATTTTAAAAAATCACATATGCTATAATAGTTCTGGTCCAACCTAATAAAATTCTTAAAAAAATTACCTTTAATACTATAGTTCTAATCTGGCCCAACCTACTAAAATTTTTTAAAAAGAAGTTATCTTCGTTAAAATAGTTTTGGCTCAATTTATAAGAATTTAAAAAATCATATACGTTATAATAGTTCCAGCCCAACCTAATAGAATTCTTAAAAAGTTATTTTTGCTATCATAGTTCTGGCCTAACTTATAAGAATTTATAAGAATTCTAAAAAATTATATACATTATAATAAATCTGACCCAACCTGATAAAATTCTTAAAAAAATTACCTTTACTATCATAGCTCTGGCCTAGCCCAACCTACTAAAATTTAAAAAAAAGAAGTTACTTTCATTAAAATAGTTCTGGCTCAACCTAATAGATTTTAAAAAAATCCTATACATTATAATAGTTCTGGCCCAACCTAATAGAATTCTTAAAAAGTTATTTTCACTACTATAGTCCTGGCCCAACTTATAAGAATTTATAAGAATTTTAAAAAATCACATATGCTATAATAGTTTTGACCCAACCTAATAAAATTCTTAAAAAAAATACTGTAGTTCTAGCCTGGCCCAACCTACTAAAATTTAAAAAAAAAAGTTATTTTCATTAAAATAGTTTTGGCTTAACTTATAAAAACTTAAAAAATTACCACATATGCTATAATAGTTCTGGCCCAACCTAATAGAATTCTTAAAAAGTTATTTTTACTATTCTAGTTCTGGCTCAACTTATAAGAATTTATAAAAATTCTAAAAAATCACATATGCTATAATAGTTCTGGCCTAACCTAATAGAATTCTTAAAAAAATCACCATTACTTTCATAGTTCTGACCTAGCCCAACCTATTAGAATTTTTTTAAAAAAAGTTATCTTTGATATAATACAGTATAACCTCGATATAACGAAGCTCTGTAGCTAGAGGTTTTCTTCGTTATATCAAAACTTTATTAATA